CCTGTGAAGAAAGCAATGACAGCTCCATTGATAGTGAAGATGGGATTGAGCAAGAAATCAGGAAATTTCTCGAGCAGAAGGCCCAAGTGCACAAACAGGCACCCAGCTCTGCTGTGACTCAAGACGCTCAGGGTACAAATGAAATGGAGAAGGTAAAAGCAAATGAACCACAGATTGAAAAGAAACCATCGAAACTGTCTTTAAAGCAACAAAGAAAACACAAAGAGAAAAACATTTGTGTTTCCACCATGGTTAAAGAAACCGCCTCTAAGCCTTTACCTGACCATACAAAAGAATCAAAGCTCTTGGCATTGCCCCAGAGAAGTCAAACACACCCTGCCACTGGATTACACAAGTCAGACCAAAGTGGAGACAAAAGCAGCTCTCTTGACAGCGATGAGGACCTAGACACGGCGATAAAAGACCTTCTGAAAACGAAAAAGAAATCAAAGAAAAAGATGAGAGACTTAAAGCGGAAATCAAGGAAGTGCCTCAAAGACGAAGACCCGCTGTTAGGAAATGCATTTCAGACCAAAAAGTTACACATTGACTCTCTTTCCAAGTGTAGTGATTTGAAAAAGGTGCAGAAAAGTAAGAATGACAAGAAAGACAAGCCTGGGCTGGGGAAAAAGAGCATTTCACAACACAAGCAAGTTTATAAAAGTAAGAAGCACGAGCTGCATGAAGGTGAAACGGAGATCCTGAAGGGAGCTGAGCGTCCAGGCATCCAGTTTGTGCACACTGCGGAAGCCGCACCTCAGATTAAGGAAGACAGCAGCTCAGTAGACAGCGATGACAGTATTGAGCAAGAGATCCGAAGATTTCTGGCTGAAAAGGCCAAGGTTTCTACCGCAGACAAAATTAAAGATGGAAATATAGCCAGGAATGGTACTGTCACTATTTGTAGCTCATTTCAAGATAAAGACATTAAACAGGAAAATCAGCTGGCTGAGATTCCAACGAAAAGTATCAGTCCTCTCTCTGAAAAGTCTCATATTAGTAGTCCAGCTCATAATAGACTTCAGACACCACAGACTGTTTTTCCAGACATCTCTGCGGTCGGTGCACAATCACATCCCTCAGCCGGATCCTGCAGTCCCAGTCTTTTGGAACCAGCAGATGGGGCAGGGGCAGCTAGAACTGAGCAAAGGAGACCGTGTATTGATAAAGGTGATGTCCACAACGCCACCTCACAGACGAAGAGGGCTCGACCAATTTTGAGTCCTAGCGTCGCTCATTCTCGCTCAGAGGCAATCAAATGGCGCCAGAGCCTCGGACTACCTACTCACGACGCGAGGACTCTCAGTCGGACTCCGTTCCACATCACCTCATCTGAAATCAGCGAGGGTGGCTCGGTAACACATCAGAGTGGAGGAATGGGCCACAAATTACAGACTCCTGTTACTGTTTGGTCCTCTGCAAGGACCAGTAAATCACCATTCCCCTGTTCTAAAGACACTGCTGGAAATACTACATTCACATCTCCTGTTTTGAATTTTTTTTCTGCTGCCAGACAGCATCCGAGGATGTCCTTTACACAGGATCTACCCGCCGGCCAGAGGTCCCAGTGCTCCATCGAAGGGGAGAAGGAGAGTACGGTGCATATGCCCAAGGACAAGAGTGTGTTTGTGGAACTGGAAGCTAATAGGACAAATCACGTCCAGGTTCAATGCAGGGAAAGAAGCGAGGTTAAGGAGAGAGCAAACTTACTAAGGGAGAAGAAGAGCGAAGGCGAGGGTATGAAGATAGATAATAAAGAAGTGCATCTAGGAAGAAAAGAGGAAGAGTTTATAGATGAGACAGATTGTGAATCAGGCCAGAAGAGAAATCCAGAAAAGAAGCAGGGCTTTTCCACATTGTAAGTATTTTTCTTTGACCACTATAAACCATAGTGTCATCATTTTCTGATTTCTCTAATGGTGTCCTGTCAAATATTATAGATTCTGATCGAGCTCATTGATTTATAAGGGAATGTTTATTGATATATTTTTTTTTTTATCATAAAACTGACTTTTTTTTATGTATTTTTACAATTTCACAGTTGTGGAACCACAATGAAAACTTTATATGTGCTCATAAGTTACCTGTTGTTGATCGTTTGAAAAGCAATACAGTGACACTTTCGTGCAGAAACGAATGAGCGGTAGAAAATTACATGTTCCTAAATATTTTTGCTAAAAAACAAAAAAGAAGACGTGACAAGGAAAAGAAGTCTCAGTTTGGCAGAATAACGATTTAGGTTTGAGTCCAAAATGTTTAAATTTAGGTTGCATCTTTTCCCATCTTGCAGTAGGAAACCCAGAGCCCTGAATAGTTACATTAGTTACCTTATTAAGACTTTAAAAGTAATTTCCAACATCAAATTTAGGGATGGACCATTGAATAAGCCAGTACAAATCAAATGACACAGATGGCATTGGTCAGTGGTTATTGTTTGTGTCTCATCAGGTTTGTATAAACTGTTTAAAAAAAAAAATATCCTGGACATTGGCTAGATTTTTTTTAAACAGTGGTCCTGGTATTGGTTTGAAATCTCACTGTGCATTCTTATTTATTGTAGTAGGTTTCCATCACTGCCTAGATTATGGTTTTCATTTATTTTACATGTGCAGGAAATCAAAATGGCACAAAGTTAAACGTCTGGGTGCTAAAGCTGCAGTGGTTAGGGTGAAAACATAAGTGAGAGAAAACCCCAAAACAATCATTTTTTCGAGCAAAAATGCCAAAACTTCCTAAAATAGGGTTATTTGCTGCATTTCATTTCTTTGTGTGTTAGGTAAGTGGGGTTTTTTACTCTTCAATGTCAAATAGAATCACTTTACCTGAGCTGAGCAGTCAGTACTGAAAATAAGTTTTAGTTGTAGCCCCAAACAATATTTTTAACATGAAATTAAGGGCATAATTGTGTATCTAATGTAAAAAAAAAAAAAAAAAGACCAATCAGATTTCAATACTGTTTAAACAAACCTTAAAATATATTTAGACTAAAATACAAAGTAAGTGAACTTTTTGGTTTATTGGTTTATTATTCCTCTGAATTTTCTCATCTGTGTCTGCAATGACACAATTTACTTTGTCCAGCATGTGCTGCACTCTGCACAGTGTATATCATTAGATCTTTTGACACTTTCACAACCTTTTCACTCAAGTGCAGCAAGTGTTTTTATACTGTCAGCACCATCTTGAAAAGTCTCCTTCCTTTCTTTTTTCCTTCTCACATTTGTCTTATTCTTTTAATCCCTTACCTCAGACTAATTCTGTGCGCTCTGAATGATGATCATTTCAGTCAGTTTCTACTTTTTAAGTATAAAGCAGAAACAGCCACTATGTTTCAATTATTACTTTGACTCTTGTGAGCCACTTTTTTTGGGTAGGGGGTTGTTTTATTTTTAAGATAAATATCATGGGTACAGGAACCAAGTTACCACCAACCTTTTGCTTTTCACACACAGCGCTCTTCTTGTCTTTGTCTGTTCTATAATTGATTTTCATGAAAGAAAATTTAAAGCCGAGTTGCTGGTGATAGATTTTCTAGTAGTCTCGGATAAAGTCTTGCTCCAGATTCCATAAGTACCACATTTCCCCCTCGCTGTCTTGCTAAAGTTGATATTTTGTGTGGCTTGTTTTTTGGGTTTTTTTTGTCATGTTAAAGTTTTCCTGGATTTCCTGTTTGAAAAAGGCTATTTATTTTTCTTTATGAAATAAAAAAGGCATTACTGAACATGCTGTGCATATCCAGTTTTTCTGTAAATATTTTGTAAGAAGTGTTTTTTTTCTTCTTCTTCTTTCTTTTACTCTTTCTGATGACAGAAATGTTTGCCGTGTCTTTTAAGTGCATCTGTGTAATAAAGATTGGAATCTGAGCAACAGTGGGCCTCTTGACTTAAATTTTATAATTTACAGAATTATTAAAGATTACTGCAGGAGTAGTCTGATGCATATCCTACTCTGCCTTTACCAGGTCTTTATCCAGTGCCATTGATCCCGGCATTACCTTCAGGCCTTGCATAGCTCTTACCTCAGAGGAGAGAGGCAGCATGTTCAACAGGAGATACTTGGCTGAAAAGTGCAAGAAGGTACAATTATGTGAAAACACGACAGCGTTTGTTTGTCAGTTACAAACATCATGATTTCAGTTCTTTATAAAAAACAGTTCAAATCCACAGTGTGAAGTGTGTATTATGCAATGCTTGCAGGAGAAAACTTCCCTCATTAACTCTTCTGTGCACGGCAAGGCTGTGCAGCACGTCAAAAGGAAACTTCAGTTTGTTCCAGTAAGCGGGTATGTGATCGCACCCAAATGGGTTTGTCTCAACAGTGAACGATCAAACGCAAAGAAAACTCATCTGCAACTTGAGTTTCCTTGTTTGTTTGGTTTTTTGCAGGAAACTGGACGCGCTCAGCAAGCTCAGCACACACAGTGAGATAAAAGCTGGCTTTTGAAGATGCACCTGGAAGATGCTGCCTGCTGTTAGCACGTGTATGGGTTGTTGAAAAACTATTATGGACCCAAGTGTTTATGTATTACAGTTGTTGTTGTTGTTTTTTAAAGTATTTAGTAAGTATGTAAAGTTTTGGTAAGTTCTATAACAGTACTAAGGGCATTAAATTTTAATTTTGGATTAAATATGGATCCTGAACTCAGGGATACCTTGAGTATTTCAGCATTTATCTTACCTGAATTTTTCTATTTTTTCTCGAATGCACAGTAAATTTGATTTGGGGTTATATTGTTTGAGGTACCATATATTTGTTCTTATCCTCATGATGCCACTGTTGTTTTTTGTTAGAAGTGGCGTCTATATTTACAAACATTTGTTTTATATTAACAGTTTTTCTTCTTACAACAAACATTGGCTTATGTTCTTGAATACGTTTCATAGCTAAATGACACAAGAACGGTACTTCCTGTGACGCTCCAACTCTTTCAATAAAGTTGAGCCGAGAAAAGGTGGGTTAATGGGTATTGTAGTTTTTACACAAGCACATCACGACAAGCTTCTACTTTGCGGCATTCTGTGAACTACAGTTGCGCAGTCGCAGTTTACTGACCTTCCATGGTTCTGCAAGCATGGCTGTCCGGGCACTTACGAGAGGTAACTGAAAACAGTTTACAGTTTTTTATTTAGAAAATAGTTCAAGGAAAATATTCAGAAGATTTAGAGCCAATCCAACATTTTACCTTGTGTTTATTTCTGCGTTTAGTTTTGAGTTTCGTGTACGCTACGCTACAGTTTAGCATGTTAGCCCACAGCTAAATGCTGTATTACAATTAATGGCAATAATTGAACGCCTGCGCTAGGTTATTGGCAAGCATTATTCTCTTCATGATAGTTAACTACCGATGTTTTAACTTTTTTTTTTCATATTTAGGCCTTTTAGGGTTCCGATACTCACGGGCTGCCACCGTAGCATCCCCCTGTGGTGGACATCACTATGTGACAGCACCGTCTGCGAAGCCACCTCAACCCCAGGCTGGCGATGTTACAGGTGAGCTAAATAACGCAAGGGCGTCAACACTTGGTTTTTGTTTTGTTTTTTCAAGAATTTTATTTATGTTACTACTTGTCATTTGTTGTTGTTGTTGTTGTTGTTTTTCTTATTAACAGAAAAAATATTAAACCAGCCCCTCGAGAAAGCAGACTTTTTTCGTGTGGCTGAGCTTTTCTCCTTGAAAGACTTATTCGACGCCAGAGTGCATCTTGGTCACAAAAAAGGTTGCAGGCACAGGTTGGTGTGATATTTATCTCAGCGTTTTAGTGCGCTGCACCCCCGTATATTTACAAATTGTTTGTAGTCTGTAATTAAATAATCTGGAGACACTTGTCTTTCTTTGTGGGTCAAGGCTTTATAACTTCTACCTTAGTGGGTTTTTGTTTTGTTTTTGGGGGGGGGGGGTACTACTGTGGGGTTTAGGTGTTCCCAACATGTGAAACTAATCTCACATGATAGAGGCGTGTTCAGTCACTACTTGGCACATGTTAGATTTTAGACCTTCTGTCTATTGCTTAGTCTGTCTGCATATTATGCAATGGCTGAATAAAGTATAACTTTTTAAGCTTGAACAGTGTCATTTGCCCAGAACCCCTAGTGGTAGTCTCCTGTGGATAAAAAGTGGGGAGTTATTAATAAAAAAAATGCCATAAAACTTCATGCTTTAAACCCCTCTTTATTAAATTGGAAGTTTCTGTTTGTTAACACTTCTGGTTATTAGTGGTAACAGCAAGCATAAATACCACAGGTCCTAGAACCTTGAAGGAAGCGATACAAACTTGTTGTTTTAATACAGATGGCATTTCTTTTAACTATTCCATAACTAACCTATTGTCATTAAATGCTTCTAACAGAAAGCTCCAGCAGCAGGAAATGTTTTGGTTACTTGGTCGATCATTTCATCAGGAATGTAGCTATTAGAGCTATGTTATTTTATTCAGCAGTAGTGATTCAAGTGACATTTTTCTGAATTATAATTCCGTGTTTCTAGGCTCATGGAGCCGTATCTCTACGGCTGTCGTTTGGATCATGACATTATCAATCTGGACCAGACTATGGAGCACCTTCAGCTTGCCCTCAACTTCACCGCCCACATAGCGTATCGCGGTGGCATCATCCTGTTTGTCAGCAGGCGGCGTCAGTTTGGCCATCTGGTAGAGACCACGGCCAAAGATTGTGGAGAGTATGCGCACACGCGGTACTGGCAGGGCGGCCTCCTCACCAACGCCAACATCCAGTACGGCCCAGGAGTCCGCCTACCGGATCTCATCATATTCCTTTCAACTCTCAACAACGTCTTTCAGCAGCACGTGGGCATCAGAGACGCAGCCAAGATGAACATTCCCACAGTGGGTGTGGTGGACTCAAACTGCAACCCCAGCCTGGTGACGTACCCCGTGCCCGGGAACGACGACACTCCAGCTGCCGTCGAGCTCTATTGTCGTTTGTTTAAGATGACCATCAACCGTGCCAAAGACAGAAGGAAACAGATGGAGCTCATTCATGGTCTGTCAGCGCCCACCTCGCAGATCTCATGATATTAATACTTAAATTTAAACAAAAAAACAAGAGACGTTGAAAAGCCTACATTCTTTAATCTGAAGCTCATCAACTGTGTAGTGTATCCTGTTTTATGTTGATACACTACAAATTTGAAATAAATTTTGGCTTCCTCCTTCCATTACACATCTGCACTTGGAAAACATCTGGTTTAACAGTCAGTAAAATATGGCTCAAAGTTAACATTAGTGCAAATTTATGTGAATATCACAGCTGTAAATCGCTGAAATAACAAAGTGGTGATCCATTGTTGAAATCCTGGCGTGGGAGAGTGATGATCATTTGCAGTTGCAGACTGAAAGAAAAGTATCTGAGTCATTGTCACAACTGTATTTGCTCTCTTGCAGTCTATTTAAGTGTTTAGGCCATGAAATGTGTTTCTGTAAACAAAAATACCTCTGCAGAAAGTCAGCCAAATGATGCAGAACATAAGCAACCTATGAACTACACATGAACATTAATTAAAAGCAGTTTCTGAAAGTGTACACTGAAGTAATGCCTGTTCATCTAGTTAGGAATGAAACAAGCAGGATTAATACATATATACATACACTGGAGGGATGCAGCATCATTTAAAGAAGAGTATACATGGATATTGAATGAAATAATCTGAAGCCTTGAGTCTTTAATGTGTAGCTCATCAGCTGTATAGTGTATCCTATTTCATGTGACGTTTGCGGCAGTTGGTTAAGTTTAGTTTCTCCCAGCTTCCGTAGTTGTATCCTGTAGCGACCTTCTATGGCCACGAGGTGGATAAGTAGCTGTCACGTCAAAACGGTGAGTGGGTGTATGTGAGTGGGAAGAAGTTTATTAGCTTGCATTTTATGATGTACTACCACAACAGTCGACGTGTTCCTGCATATACAGTCATATTTCAGTTGTTCGGTTGTTTGTAACCGCGGTCCGCAACAAGCAGTTTCAAGGGTTCAGGCTGACGCTCGCGAGCGCCGACATGTTTAACAAACCTGCAGACTGACTGTTGGAGACGTCAAGAGCAATCACAATAGCAAAGCTTATTTCCTTTCAAAGCCTTATTACTTATATCATTACTGCTGTTTAAAGTCAGTTATTTTTCTCGCACGCTGTGAAACACAAATCCTACACTCTAATACAACTTGCAGCCTTTATCCCAAATGCATTCCACATTATTACTTTAAAGCTTAATTGCCATAGTTTGATTCTGCTAAGTAAGCATTATTTTGTTTGTTGAAGTAAGATTTTTAAGCTAATCGGGGTAAAATAAAATGAGTGTCTGAGATTCGAACTCATACGATATGTAGGGCTCGTCCTTTTGCAGCTGATGGCGGGCTTGTCGGCCTCAGAATTCTTGTGAAACTGTAACTAGATGTATGGGTAACAGTAACATATTAAATAAGTTACTGTTTAAATAAATAATTTAAATAAGTTCCGCTTTTTTGTGTGTAAGTTCTTCCAGTCAACTTTTTGAAGGCGAGGCAAATGTTCACATGAGTCTTACTAAGAGGAACGAAAACGTTAAGGCCACAGACAGAGGGGGCTGGTCAGGGTAAGTGTTTTTTTTTTTTTATCAGGTTAGTATGATGGAGAAGAGTGGTAGGAGATAGGGATTTTAACACTAGCCCAGGCTTGTAATCTTCCTGTACATTAACGGTAAGTGACTAACATTTGTTAGTCAAGGAAGTTATGAAATGAACTAAAAAATTAATAAATAAATACTCACCAAAAATGTTTCAGCTAATTGTCATTTGAACGAATGACTTATTTCTTATTTGCAGATGTACCGTCCAGCTCTTGGAAAACAGATTTTAATGAACCAACGAAAAACTTCCATTGGTATGTAAAAATATTTGCATCGCTGTGATTTTAAATGGAATAGTTTCGTGTGTTGTTTCATATTTGTTTTATGTATGTTGTGTCCAACTTAATTTTTTAACTGCTGTGATACAAGAATTTTGCAGATCTGGGATAAATGAAGCATATCTTATTTTTTATTTATTTTTGTTTATATAGATAAATATGAGGAGAGAAGAGGTGCCATTGCTTTACCTTCATGCAGATGAAGGCGGTTGAGCTGAAGTGAAGGCCGTTCACAGGATGGTAACAGGTTTTGTTAAAAAGCTTTTGACTCTTTATTGCCCCTTGAGACGCAACCCTGGCTCCAGTGCCTCTGTTGCGCAGTAAGTCGGCAGAAAGTAACGGGCTCTCGATAGCTCAAATCCACTCTTTCGTGGGCTTTGGGTATGGAACCGGGCCAGATACTTACTCTCAATCTACCATGAAGGTGTTGTGTTCCTGCCAGTCAGTAGTTGTGTGCTATTTAAATCAATTTAACAACTCTACCTTTCTAAAGCTTATTTTTTGTATACATGGTCTCATTATGGATACATTCAGTCAGATTTATAGCTGTGTATCTAACAAAGTGGCTACTTAGTATATAATGAATATATTTTGAATGTAACAAATGTATGTATGTAGTCCTCATTGCCCATAAATGACAAAGAGGACTACATGACAGTTTTTGGCATACAATTTTGAATTGCCTTTACAGTTAATTGGATTCAAATGTCAATGTGAATGTTTCCATTATATAGATGTCAAGGTTTGCACTTAAATGGTTCAGACACGCTTGTGGAGCAGCAGCGGCTTGGCTTCAGAAAGGTACGAATTAATACTTTTGCTCTCATTCAGTCTGCCCATTGAGGCATTGCTGTCCAACATTTCTTGACCCTGTGACATAGTGGGACTAGGAGTCCAAATGTCTGCATCATCTTAGGCTTCAGTCACACTGATAAACCCCCTGGGTAACCAACACAAGGCCGATCCAGCAATTTGAATTCTTTACATTTCAGGATACTGTTCTTTAACCCTCTGGGGTCGCCGGATGCGCTGGCGACCCCAGAGGGTTAATAAACGATAAGAATTATAGATATTGTGCTTGCAACACTGGAATTTCATAAATGAATGAATTGCTTGGCCTGCAAAAGTATGATGTCACAACAATGTGATTGGTCACTTGCAATGTTGAACCTGGAACAACATTTATTATGATGATGTGGGAACAACACCAACACGAGGATATCAGATCATCCAACCAGCACTAGTGAGGGAAATGTCTCTATTCTGTGAATAGTTGCTGGGTGAAATTTGCTTCAGTTGCTAGCAGGTTATGTCAGTTGCCAGTAGTTTGTTTGCGTGCAAGATGCCAACTTGTTTGCAAACACCTAGTACTCACCAAGCAGCAGTGAACTGTGAAAAGTGAAACAAACTAGAAACAGAAAACACTCACCTTCAAAGTAAAAGTGTGTTAGTGAAATGTGTCAGTTGCTGCAGTAAGGCACAGCTTTTACTTTGAAGGGGAATACTTTCTGTTTCTAGTTTGTGTTTCACTTGTCACAGTTTCCTTACTGCTCTTTGTGTCTTTCACAAAAACTACGGGTAGCCTATTGCTTTGGTAATTAGCCAAAACAGTCGCAAGGAGGGTTTTTTTTGCACAACCCTCTTTGCAGCCAATTTCACCAAAGAGACAAACATTTTCCCTTTGTGAAGTACAACATACAGGTTTTTTGCAACCTGAGAAGTGATGAAATGCTTGTTGAAACTTGAAATGGACATAAACAAACTCCTACATGATTTGTCTTCGCAGGTGACTACCCAGTGTGCCTCAGGGTTGGAGACGATGTTATTTCCAGGAGCTCTAACGATTCCTCACCACCTGACTCCTCCATTCAGCTTGCTCTCTCTTCATTTCTTGATTTCCTGTTTGAGCATTTCATCCGCCTTACTTCCATTAGTTTGTTTTTCTTTTGCTTAACTTTTGAAGACATTGTTTTTTTCAGTTGTATTTTTCATTTTGATTACGTGCATATGAAGCGTAATGTCCTCGTTGCGCGTAATCACATATGAAAGATTACTTTGGAAATTGCATTTGTGGTGAGTGCTATATCAGCTTTTCCCACAATCAAATCACTCTGATGATCATATGATAAAGGCAAGTGTTTGTGTGTGTCGATCCATTCCCTAGGAAATGATGATTTCCTTTCCTGTTTGCTCACATTTACAAACTGAAAATATGTAATGGGAGCTTTTACTTGACTACTTAGCTGGTGTAGAATTTGACATGCATGAAACAGAAAATGTAATAAAATAAATTGACATGAAATAAAATTATTTTCCTGAAAGTTGTGAAATGTCTGTTTTAAAAACAATATAGCTTAATAGGGAAGAGCAAAACAAACAAAAAGTTCAAAGAATTACTTATGAAAAGACTTAATTAAAGAGGTATGTAAAAATTAGGAGCACTAGCAAAAGACTGCAAAATTAAATAGAATTCATTGTAGTAAAAAACAAGGAAAGCAAATGTCATCATGCATTGAAGTGGCTCAGTGTGAAGAGTAGCACACGGGGCAAAAATGACTGCACACAGACTAATGTGGGATCAGTGCTGAACTTGAGGCAAGATCAGAAAGGTTTTGCGTTATGTAGGAAAGATTGCCTGCGTCACTCTTTGTTTAGTTATGTTATGGTTCGGCAGCAAATGTCATTTCCCCACCTCTGAGAGTTGCTTCCACTGTTTATTCACCCAGACCACACTTGGATGATCCACCTGTTCTTCCGGCAGGTAGTGATTTTAGCACTTTAGCTCTACCCACTGCAAAGAAATCAATTCTTTTGACTTTGGTTTTCTTTGAGGTTTCACTACAAGTTCTGGACTCATGCAGCACAAAAAGCGACAAGTGGATCCATGCCATGCCCTCCACAATATGAAAGAGTCATTGAATCCCCTCCGTAGAGGTGAGCCAAGCAATCCAAATAACGATAGTGCCGATACCAACACCGTTATTGGTTTTGGATCAAGCCTAGCATGAATGGATCGAATCTTTGTTTCTATCCTCTTATCCCTTCGGCAGGAAATCTATGCCATGACTTGTGATGTACGCATAAACTCATTTTAACTCTACGAGGTAACCTGACACGCACCTCCAAAAATGCAAAATGCAGTATGGACAGCACTATCCCTTCTCGGGGCTTTCCTTCAATTTGTCAGCCGCAGGTTGCAAGGAAGGAGGCGCGGTAAGATTTCCCGTCGGCAGATAAAATCCCGTCAGCTCTGACGCCTCTCCCTTTAAGATGCGCAGCAGCGAGTCTCTGGGAAACTGAGGCTGTGCGCTCGTCGGGTCCAAGCAGCGCTTATTTCTTTGTCACAATGATGCCTTCTTTGATCTGATTGGACGGTGAAGGTGCTGCTGGTCTAATATTCGGAAAATATCGGGGATCATAGCTGAGGATCTCTCTGATTCTGGGCCGCGTCGGTCGTTCTGTGGCCCCGATGGAGCTGAAATATCGCTCAGCTTCAAGGACACACTCTTCATCATATTTTTTGAGCGGCTGAATGATTTCTATTGAAAACACACGCTGTGATCAAGGCAAGCAAAGAGGAGAAAACAGCTCGAAAAGCAGCTCGTTGTAATAACCAGTAAATATGCGACGCGTGTCGTGGTTTACTGCGAGAATGTGATCAGACGGGACTCTGGTTTCTCGCTCTGCTGCCTCCGAAAAAGAGTCGCTCATGATGCCCAGGGCTTTGCGGAGACTGGTCCATTTGATGCTGTTCTGCCCTTTATCCAAAGGCCTGCAGGTAGGCTATGGGACTGCACAATGTCAGTCTTTTTGTCACTAACTGTCCACCAGCAGCATGCACGACCACTGACCAAACCGTCAGTTCACTTCACATGCATGCATGAAACCCCCCGTAACGAATACAAGTGCAGCGCAATGTATGGTAGTTATCTCTGCGTTATCCTGTAGTCAGGTGACAGGCTGCTGGTTCATTCATTGTTTACAGATACCCCAGAATTTTGCAGCCACGGGTTCACAGGTTTGCAGTGCATACACGACTGTAAAAGCATGATTTAATAACAGTACAAGTTGGATCATAAACATTCTGCTTATGCTAATTCTGCTTAGTACTACACTTTTGTGTAGCATTACATTTTGTGTTAATGCATGTGATGCCCGCTCTTCCCGCAGCTATCCTATTGCAGAGCATTCAAATCAGTGGTTCCCAGCTGCTGTTTGTAGCCCATTATACAAAAATCAGTAAATAGAGATGCACAAATAGCGATAAGTCTAGGCTGATGTTGATATTTAAAAGAAGAATTTAACTCATAGTTCTGATACAGTTTATTGCTGTTTATTTTCTTATTTATCCTCCCTTTTCTCCCAGACATTTCCATCTTCTATTTTGGACATTAGACAGAGATGTGACAACACACAAACATCAGTCTAAATGTCATCTTATTTATCAGTCTAAAAAATACCAGTGATTGGCTGTATACTGGTACATCTCTAGATCTACAATAGGAAGTCTCTTCTATTCTAATTTACTTGTTTCTTTTAGGAGTGGAAACTATTCAGTATTTACAGAAAATCAAAGAGAGAAGTATCAATTACTAAACTATTTCCTATGCCGGTGCTATGAAGAAGTATTTGCCTTGGACGACTTTCTATAAGTGATGGAACCATAAATTCTACTCTCGACCAGAAAATCCTGAAGGAGAATTTCCAGCCATTGGTTCGTGCCTTGAAGCTTAAGAGCACCTGTGAAAGGCTCAAAAAGAAAAAAGAAAAAAATGTAGCTTTGGAGTTGCCTTGTTAAAGTCAAAATTGAGAAACTTTGACCTTCAACAAGCTATTCATGTTCAAAGACTCTCAAATGTGGCTGAATTAAAACAATTCTTCAGTTTTCTCCACAGTGACGTGCTGTGAAATAATCATTGCCAGTTATGGCAAACGCCTGATTGCAGTTCTTTCTGCCAAGGGTGAAACAGCCAGTTATTAGGTTTAAGGGGTAATTGCTTTCTCGCACAGATCCAGGGAGGCTTGGACAGTATTTTTCTCTTAACAATTGAAATCCACATTTAAAAACTGCATTTTGTATTTCCTCGGTTTGTCTTTGTCTAATATTAGAAATTGTTTAATGATCTGAAACATGCAAGTGTGACAAATCTGCAAATATAAATGAGCAAAATGCAAAAAATCAGGAAGTCCTTAGTTTCATGTAGTTGAGTGTCTCAATTCCACCTTAAGGTTGGGTGACCAGCTGTTCATTCATTCATTCATTCACAGCCTGGGTTTAATTAGACTTCTTTTCTTCCTGCCATGCGCCCATTTTCTACCATCCTCCACAGAGTCGCCTTCCAGCTATTAAAGTGAAGTACCTTCTGCTGGCATGGCTGGGCATCCTCGTCATCAGCTGGATCGTCTACATGCAGTATGCCTCCTACTCTGAGCTGTGCCGTGGGCATGTTTGCCACATGGTCATCGTAAGTATTATCTTTGAGTTAAATAAAACTCAGTTACATGGTTTAATCGAATTCAAGCCTATAAATCAAGATAAATTTGATAGTGTAGGATATCTGTGAATGTGGCATAAAAATACTGACTGTGGCAGTGAGTAAAGTCCTAACCACAGATTACAGGCTTTCCAAACTACTGCACGACAATAAAGGTAGCTTTCAGGGTAACCAAGACAAAAACTACAATCACATTAATTCAGATCATAACACAATCACTGGAAAGAGCAGATCTTTTGCTTTTCCCAAGACAAAAACTAAAGAATTCAGAATAAAAACAACAGTATAAATAATAATTTCATAGGTTTTAAAAAGTACATGGCAAGACAGTGGAACAGAGGGACACGAGGTCTGTGTTTTGAGGAAGAGTGCATGGCCAGTGTCTTAAACTTGTGGTACCAGGGTGCTCTTACAGGACACAACCCCACTACCCACCTGTAGGATTGTAACATCAGTTTAGCTGTTTGGTCTTAGCTCATTTGACTACAGTTTCACTAACCACATAACAGACAAAATGTGACTGTTTGTATTTACATAAATGAAGAAAATGATTTCATACCATGCTAGTTTTGTGCTGCTGAGGTGAGACCCACAGATGTCTAGTTCCCCTCTGTTGCGTTCTGTGTTGCGGACTTGGGAGAAATGTGTCTCCTCGGTCAGGTGATGTCAGGTAAACTGCACATGGTGCTGGGCTCTTTGCTGCTTTGTGACAACATACTGAATATAACTCAGTGGGTTACTCCATTCAGATGAATTTCATGCACACCACTTTACATGAGTAAGTATAGCATCCTTCTAGGAAAGAAGTAAAACTGGCACTCTCTGATTCCATATCCATGAAAAATCTCAAAGGACATAGCTGGAAATGGGATTTTTTTCTTTCTTGTCTGCTAATTATAAAGGTACAAAACTTCATAGTCAGCATGCAATTTTTAAACTAATGTAGCAGTTTAAGATAAACTTAAGACTCATTTACTGGTCGTCAAGATCAATGTTTCTTTAGTCCAATACACCTCTGGTATGTGGATGGGAAAAGCCAGGAATTCCACTGAGATTGCTAACTAACCACCTGAACCCAAGTCACATGTCCTAGTGTTTTTCCTGGTGTCAGGTCCATATTTAGAGACACAGACCCAGCCTCAGGAGGCCACAAGTTATTGTATTCCCAGTGTAGGTCCCAAGCTTGGATAAATGGGCGGTTTGCATCAGGAAGGGTAAGCGAAACCATCCAGTGTAACTGAAAGAAGCTTCATATTTCTCGATGAGCCTTTCTTTTTTTTCTGTAAACATACTTGTTGAAATCGTGCATTCTCTCTGATTCATTAATCCATAACAGAAACATTGAACTTTAACGTTTAAGACACAGTCACACAGACTTCAAACATTTCACTGGTCCAGACCACTTAAGATCAAAGTGGGATGCATCTGGCCCACAATGTAAAGTGAGTTTGAAGCCCCTGATCTATGTCAGTCTGAGCAGTACAACCACACTAAAATGCTACTGGACACGCACAAAGTAGAAGCTCTGCAATGACGTGTTAGAAATGCATGTCTCTCAAAGTCAAAAGGGTACGTAAAGGCAAGAAGGAGCATGGAGAACAGTGTGTCAGGTTAGGCAAATCTGGTTAGATTCACCTGACCTCTAGCAAAGATATTTTCCCTTTAAGTAAACAGACATTGGAGGGCTAAATATAGAGAGCTCAAGTACTGGATGCATAAATAGAGGCTTATTTCTGTTTCCTGCAATTTCTGTTTTGGTTTCTGCAGTGTGATCATTATAGAAGAGGCATAATATCAGGTTCATCCTGCAAGGCACTATGTGACCAGAGAACGCTAACTCTGCAGCGCTGCATGTCCACCTCCTCCACACATCAGGTAAAACAAACACTCACAACTTACACATGCGTGAAGAATAGCCTTTGAGAGAACAATATATTTCCAAATTCATGTTAGTGCACATCTGTTTTTTTTTAATTTAATCAATAATTTTATTATAGATTGCCTCATAATTTTTACTGGAACATGAAAAAAACATAACAGCAATTGTAGTAACAAATAAAAAGTAAATGATTTGACATATTTGATACTAATTATAGTATCGATATGACTGTCAGTGTTAAAGGATGTCTATAAAAAACATACTGCAGCCACTAGATTGTCACACACGGTTGGGTTTTTTCAGGGCCATTCCATATTTGGCTCTAAAGCTGAGTCACCAGCTAACAGTGGCAATCTTGGTTAGCAAGGTACATCCAGTGACTGTATGGGTAGTGGGTGTATCTGATATACCATATTGGTGTTGTTCCTGTGTCATCATAATAGTGTTGGTCCAGGATAAATATAATATATAATCCAAATATAACAAGGAATCTTTTCTTATGGACTCAAACAAGTTTTGCTGAAAAACTGAGTATGGAACAAGCAAAGCTTAATACTAAACAATATATATAACTTATATAAATGTATATATAACTTAATATTGCACACATGCAAAATCGAAATTCCAATTTAATAACACATCAGTGGAATTCATTTCTTAAATAAAAATTGTATTTGCAGCTTTCTGAATTAAATTTGATCATTTTATCATTTATCAGATTTTCATCATATTCTCCCACCTGTCCAGAAAGCTCCTGTTTTCTGCCTTTCTTTTTGCCATTTTGGGGATAGTTAGCATGGCAGTATTTGCATGGTTGCTATGACTATGGTCAACAGAGGAGAGGGTGCTAATGGGTCCTGTCACACACCAAAACACCAACAGAGCATTCTGGGAATTGTAGTATTAGCAGTACATGAACTGTATAATACCAGCAGGCCAGCTCTAATAGTAATTTTGTATGGCTTCGCAGCCCGCGGGCCAGAGTTTGACACCTATGCTCTACCTAATCACATGTGCCAAGGTGTGAAGACGGGTGTAGGTCACAATCAGCCAAGGTTTCGGGTGAGCTCATTGTGAAACCTAGCCTCACCCTATCATGTGATTTCCTGAGGTCAGATGGCCCAGGATTAACGCCCACTCACATCCTGGGTCATCTGACCTCAGGAAATCACATCATTAGCCATATCATATGTGAAGAAGCTTCTCGGATGAGAGGTGAGACGTCTTCAAGCAACTTAAAGAAGTCCAGACGCTTTTCTTTCCAAGCTCCTTAGACTACAATGACCTGGATAACTAAGAACCTTCACAGACATATGATATTATAGCTTTGTTAAATAAATAAAAAAATTGTTTTTATAAACACTGTTCTAGAAAAACTTGTAAGCATTTCAAGTGTTTTTTTAAATTAATTTATAAATATAAGAAATATATTATTAAGTTAGGTTAAGTTAGGTTTGTTGTTAGCAAAATTTTGGTTACCTATGTTGGTTTGCTAGTGCTGCTTTTTAATAACATTAACTAATGTCTTGGCTATGCTAACTGAATGCTAAGACAAAGCCATTGTGATGTTGATCCTGACGTTGTTATTATGATGATGTAGGAACAATACCAGCACGATGATATCAAATCGTGTATGGGTAGCATAAACACAGGTACCTGCTAGCTAAAAAGTGTAAAAGAAAAATATGGGACTTTAACCAAAGAAAATTGAAGACAGGCAAAACAAATAGCCACACAGCACACAAATGCTCCACAGTACACCGCAATCACAAATACTGTCAATAAGTCCAGTTTAATGATTCCAGTTAGCTGAAATGAAGGCTAGCAGACAGCCGCGTATGCCCTCGTGAATTCACTCAGTCAAAGCAGCCATATTCTGAGTAATGTATATCTTAAGCATTATAGTGTTATAGGTAGCTGGTTATTAAGAATGTAGAACTTAGTTATAGAGACAAAATTGTTTTGTTTTGTTTTTTCCCTATTCGCTTATTTGTGTACATTTCAGGCATTTTAACATGGCGTTTTATAAAGACTGACTTGCTTTGGCAGTAATTCTCTAGTGGCCTTCTGTGGAACTGCACCTCATGAACTGCATTTCACGACTTCATTTTTCAGGCCCAAAGCTGCTTCTTATACAAGAGAAATGGATTTTGCTTGTTTTGTTTTGTTTTCCATTAAATGTACTCATTTATTATATACTCACTCTCTGGGCAGTAGTTACTTGCCTGCTTGCCAAATGTGACATTTTAAATCATACTGAACTTTCTATATGTTGATAATACTCACCACACTTGTTAGAATAATAGTTTCTATGTTATTAAGACTTTAATAGATTGTTAACATGGCCCCACTCTACACCCCTTATTCAAAAACCCTCCCAGCTATTGTGTTCACAGACAGAATGGCACACACTCAAACGAAAAACAACAAAATTTAAAAATTCCTTCTGGAGCTATTTTGGACATATTCTTCCTCATCTAACTAAAGTCATATTTTCATATTTGCAGGTATACAATGGACTGTGGAAGGAGAAGCCTGTGGTAATTAAATGTGGCGTTGAAGATCCGGTGAAAACTGACGGAGCGCCCGACTCCATGCTGCGACAGGAGATGAGCCTGTTTGACAAACCCACACGTGGAACCTCGATGGATGAATTTAAAGAGATGCTGCACAGTTTCCTTAAGGTTTCCAGGCCGATAGACTATTTTATAATAACAGTGAACAACTGTCACCACAGAAGTCACATGCTAATAGAAAACTACACATGCCTATTAGGAAACATTGGTTATGCATTAGTGCATCCAAATGAGCTCAGATCTAGAGATCTTTTTTATGTTACGTGTTTATACAGGCCAAGATCTTATTGTCAAGGTTTTTTTTTATATTTGTATCTACAACACATTTATAACATGCATTCACCTCCTTCCTGCAGGTTAACCTCGGTGAACAGTCATCTTTGAGCACCTTGGTGGACAGAGTCATCACGCTTGCTGATGTCAACCAAGATGGCAAAGTGTCACTAGCAGAGGCCAAGTCTATCTGGGCTCTCCTCCAGATCAACGAGTTCCTCCTGATGGTGGCGCTGCAGGAGAAGGAGCACACCCCGAAACTGTTGGGCTTCTGTGGAGATTTGTATGTGACGGAGCGTGTAAGCCACAACTCACTCTACAGGCTCGAGGTGCCAAATTCCCTGCAGTCTATCGTCCCAGAGGCCTTGAGCTCCAGCCTGAACCACTGGCTCGCGCCAGCTTGGCCCCGCCGAGCTCGCATCACCATTGGCCTGCTGGAATTTGTGGAAGAGGTCTTCCACGGCTCCTACGGGAGCTTCCTAATATGTGACGCCAATCCTTACCACGTTGGCTACAATTCAAAGTACGACTGCAAGATGGCCAACCTTCGCAGCGTGGCATCAGAAGCTGTTGTGCGGGGATTTTTGAAGGGACGGCGATGTGAGACGAATGCAGACTGCACGTATGGGCGGGACTGCACGGCCACCTGCGATCGGCTGGTGAAGCAGTGTAACACAGAGGTTGTGCAGCCTAATCTCGCTAAAGTGTGCGTGCTGCTGCAGGACTATCTGCTTTTCGGAGCGCCTTCAGACCTTCGTGGGGATCTGGAAAAACAGCTGCGCACCTGTGTGACACTCAGCGGGTTGGCAAGCCAAATGGAGGTTCACCACTCACTAGTGCTCAACAACCTGAAGACGTTACTATGGAAGAAGATTTCAAACACTCAGTACTCCTGAAAAACGGATGCTCTACTATAAATGAATTGTTACATGAAGACAGGTGGTTTTTGGTTATGACGCTTGCAGTAAATGTTTTAGAGGGTCGTGTTTAATCATGTATTTTCACTCTACACTGACTGTGAATAACAGGAAACTGTGAACTACTGAATATACAATGTGAAGCAGGCTTTATTCCCACTATAATCCCTATCATGCTTTTGTGTTCCAATGGGTCTGTTTGCACATAATATTCTCAGGACACTGCCTGTAACGTTGTTTCTAAGATTCTGGATGTAAATAATCCATTTTTAAAATAAATGAAGCAACATGTTGGATTATTTGTGGTTTCATAGAATTGCTTTTTTCTGTCCTTGGTAACGTGCAATTGGGAGTGGTACAGCTAGAAATATCAGAAGAATATCGCAGCTTCTTTTGTATAAATCAGTTTGCATCTCAATCAGAGAGTTACCACGGGTAGAATCTTTCTGAAAGGATGACACTTGAACTGCAGACATCGTTGACATTAGGTGTCCCTGATCATGCCACAAAATTGTTGTTCACATAAATGTTTGCAGATGTAATAACATCAATTTCAAGTGACTTGTTCATTGGTCTTCTGAGTACCAAGTCTATGATCTCAGGACTTGTGCCTAGACTTGGTTTCTTAAAAGGTTGCAGAATATACTGCTCAAAAATGAAAGGAACGCTTTGAAAACACATCAGATCTCAATGGGAAAAACAATTATGTTGGATATCTATACTGATATGGACAGGGTAACATGTTAGGAATGAAAGGATGCTGGATCATTTTATGGAAATGAAAATGATCAACCCACTGAGGGCTGAATTCAAAGTAAAAGTGAAAAAAATATGTGGCAGGCTAGTGCATTTGACAAAAATGTAATTGCAGCAGCTCTAAATGTTCGGTAGTTTGTATGACCCGCACGTGCATGTGTGAATGTCTGACAACATCAGAGCATGCTCCTAATAAGATGGTAGATAGTGTCCTGAGGGTTTACACCAGGACATCACTGAGCCTCTGAACAGCCTGAGTGCATCCTGGCAGCATGGGATGGACCACTACATAACGCCCTAGAGATGTTCTATTGGATTTAGGTCAGGTGGGTGTGGGAGCCAGTGAATGGGACCCATGACACCCAGAACCCATGGCACAAGCATAGAGTCTGATAATGGGTTCAAAATGTTCATTTTGGTCCCATTGTAAGGGTGCCTTTGTCTGGGCATCCCTCCTTGGATATGCCTTCCTGAACCATCACTGAACGACCACCAAACTGGTGTTGCTGTTGTTACAGGTAGTGTAACGCCCTCCATGGCTTCTCCAGACCCTTTCACATGTGCTCAGGGTAAACCTGGAGTCATCTGTAAAAAACACAGGACACTAGTGGTGGACATGATAATTCTGGTATTCTATGGCAAATGCCAATCAGCAACCAGCTCTCCTAGAGTAACTGCCTGTCTCCTGGAGTCTCCTCTATGTTTTTGGGACTGTGCTGGGACACAAAGCAAAGGTACTAGCACAAGTTTAATTGACTTGATGCTACAAACTGATTTAAAAAATGTTCCTTTGATTTTTTTTTTTTTTGAGCAGTGTATGATAAAGAGTAGCACTTGCCCCTGGCTCAGTGCTGTGGCTTTCCCTGCATGTGAAATGTTAATGGTATTCACAGCAAAGATGAAAGTGAGGTGTGACCGCTTCAACATCACAGACAGATGAGCGAAGCTACTGAATATTTTTGATGATGCGTTACACACCAAATGATCTGCAGCTTTCTAGAAGATCAAAGTGTCACAGATTATTTTGCACAGTTACTGCACTGGTTAAGGAGGTTCAGTGATCAAACGAGACAGATGCTACATTTCAATTCAAAACTCCCAAACCATTTTTTAAGAGAGTTATTCCCACAATAGTGGAAGGATATCAGACAACAAGTCTCAATCAGAGAGGATGTCCAACATCTAATCAAATGGTGCAGAAACAACAACCTGATTCTGAACACTGCCAAAACAAAGGAGATCATTGTAGACTACAGAAGAGCCAAGAAAACAACACTACCACCCCTCCACATAAATGGTGAGGAAGTTGAGAGGGTGAATGACATTAAATTCCTGGGCCTACACATAACAAAAGATCTCACATGGACTATTAACACATCCCACTTAGTGAAGAAAGCACAGCAGAGACTTTTATTCCTAAGAAAACTTAAAAAAGCAAATGTGCCAATCCGGCACTTAGTAAACTTTTACAGGAGCACAATAGAGAGCATCCTCTGTTACTGCATCACAGTGTGGTACTTCAGCTGCACTGCAGAAAACCGTCGAGCTCTGACCTGGACCGTCCAAACTGCCCAGGGGATCATTGGAACCAAACTCCTGAATCTCGACGCGGCCTATGCTAGCTGTTTACAGAAGCGAGCTAGCTGCATCATCAAGGACCCAACCCATCCAGGTCACAGACTTTTTGTACCCCTCCCATCAGGGAAGAGATATAGGGCAATCAGAACCCGCACAAACAGACTAAAGAACAGCTTTTTCCCCAGAGCTGTAGCCTGTGTCACCCCTCCCCCAACACACAATAGCTAACTCTCCCCCTCTCTCCTTTACCCCATGTCATGTCTGCTGCTAATGTACAAAGTCATTTACTGGACATTAATGTTTGCACTAAATTACCACACTGTAAATACTGTTATACTTATTATCTTAGACACTTAATGGGACATTCACGTTGCACTCAACTACCACATTGTAAATACTGTTATATTATATTATACTGTTTGCACTCAAATATCATATCAAATCATATTGTAAATACTAGTATTTATTTATTTTTTTAATTTACTGTGCTAAGTGCCTTCTTTTTACTTTATATTTTATACTTTTACTACGTTTACTTGGTTATTATCTTACAATGCTGCTTCTTGTTTTATTGCTGCTGGCCTCTGTGAGCTACCAAACAAATTTCGTTGTATAACTACAATGACAATAAAGTTCTTTGAGTTTAAGTTTGAGTTTAAAATAAAGGCATTTTTTTGCAGGTGAAGTCGAAATTGTAAACATTTTTACACACAGGGAAATAATTCAGAAAAAGCTGAAGGATGACTTGCATAAAAACTCAGAGGTTGTAATCTGGGAGGAAAAAAATTGTATGATATGACAAAGAAATATAGTTGAAGAAAAAGGATGTAAACACCTGCATCACTGAATGCATCATATTTAATACACAAGGTAAGGCCATGTAAGTTGCTACACTGAAGTCACATCAATCCCTCGTGGTAAAGACACCTCAACCAGGGGAGAATCGATGCTCCTCAGAGGACTGACTGACTGACTGACGAATAACAACTCAGGATTGTTCCGGACATTTAGGCCGTCCAGCACATTGCTCTTTCTGCCAAAAAGCAAGGCCCCCCTATTTGTAAAAGGCCCTGCCCTGCCTCTCTTTGGCTCTAGTTCTGGATCTACTATATACCCTCCTTTAGGTCTGTAAGGAACTTGTATCACAGATGGTCCGGGCTTTGCTTTTAAATTTTGTAGGCCCAGATCCTTTTGTGGTGTTGGCCCTTTGTCGGTGCTAACTGACCCCAAGCTCTGGTCAGCTGGTGAGCTATGTGTGTCTTTATTATGGTAATGAAAATCAGCCAGAGAGCAGATATACTCTTTGGTTGATTTCTGTCCCTGAAATGGTTTTGAAGGCTTCTGACGGATAGTGGGGAGTACTGACAGAACAGATGGTCTTTGAATCTGCTTTCTGGAGTGGAGCTGATCTTCTTTAGTACTTGGACACACACTCTCACGATGGCTTGGAGCATCAACTAAAGACTTGCTATTCTTCTTGCGGGGTGATGACATGGGGAACACAGAGAATGCACTGGATGTGGATATAGGAAACTTCTCTGAACATGGTCTTGGGGTTTCTGTCCAGTTCCTTTTATCTTTGAAGAAGGTTTGCTCTGCAAAGGTCAGGAAAGATTAATTAAAGCAAAGAAAGTAACCCATATATCCTAAAACATGAGTGAGAGCTTTTGAAAGCATTATATTACACTAGTGTATGTTTAGGCAGGGACATGGCACTTAAAGAATCCTGAGGAAAAAAGTGTTTTCAAACCTTACTTTTTGTATAAAGACTTAAAACTTTAATAGAAGTTTAGTAACACGTTATAATACTACCACCAAGGGGCCCAAAGATGTAATTCTCCTGTAAATAAATGGAATTTCAATGTATAATTATTTGAAATTATAATGTAATTATATTTACCTACAAATACATAATAGAATAAGGGTGTAACAAGTCAGGCTTTTAGATACAAAGAACTAATTAAACTGCATGTAAATGTAAGAACTGTGTAAGTAATTTCATGGTAATTTTGCAGAAAAACTAACAATTTAAACCGTAAATCTGGGAATGTTGGGGCGTAAACTTTTTGGAGTGTGAGCAATATTATGGAATGGATAACTCTTGCCCTTTTACATCTTTATTTAACATTCATTATGCCGGTACATTTTCTGTTATTCAACTGTCCTTTGATTTACCTATAAAATTGTGATGAAGACTGTTCTCCCTTATCAACTTGCAAAAAAAAAATATATATATATCGCCAGAATTTGCAGGCCCATGTTACTTTATAATAATTGAGCCAAGTCTAATTATTTTTTTTCTCTCACAATCCCTGTTCAAATGTAACTTTTAAAAGGGGTGCACAGGAAAGGAGTGTCTCCTTTTCTATAAAATACCTGGAAGTTAGGAAATATTAAACCATTCCACAATACAGCTCTGCAACAAACTTATAATGTAAGCTAGGGGAATTTTTTTTTTTTTTTTGCAAAATTAAGAAGAAATCTTGCAGTACTTAAAATTATATAATATAATATAATAGAAATATATAGATGATATAAAATAATAGTGTTTATATATATATAGTATATAATTATATAAGTACTAATAGTATATATATAAGTATATGATATAATAAGTATATCAGTAAATATAATATAATAAGAAAAATATATATATATAATATATATAAGTATATATATAATGAGACGCAGTAATGTGCTAATATATATATATGTAGAGGGAGAGACTTACTATGCATTATTTCTTCTTTCCCATAAACCACATAAATTTATAAATTTATAAATTTACTACTTAAAAATACCTACAGAATACTTTGTGCGTCCTTTTCCTGTAAAACACCCACAGTTTAGGCACTATTTATAATAATTTATCCACTATTTACCTACAATGTAAGTACTTCTTGTTTCCTATAAAATATGTAAAGTTATGCAGTGTTTACAATTCCTTTTATGCAGTTTTTAAAAGTA